ACCACAACTTTAAGAATAGTGGCAAACTCTTTCTCACTGAGCCTTGGCTTTCCAAGCTTGAGAACCGGCAGCGCCATCCATCTAACTCCAAGTGCGCCAAGTACTAAAACCTTTGCTGGCCGTTCAAAGGTTCCCACCCAACGGCCCAGTACCCGATTTAAACCTATTCACTGCATTGCATTTCGTAAATCTCGCAAATTGTGGCGGCGGGCGGGGCCTCCGCCCGCGCGGGGTCTCAAGGGTCGCTGTTGGGGCCCCTGGCCCCCGGATGAGTACTTTTGGCATCACCCCGCTTTAGCTTCCACCGCCCATTGTAGATCCATTTCAGCCCCTCTGCCGGATTCCAAATCTGCCAATGTGGCCGTCGTCCGTCCTGCCTGGCGCCGCCGGGTGCCACGCGCTGCGCCACGCCGCACGTCCGCTGACGTGGCTGCCCTGCGCTTAAGGGGCGGGCCCGCCGTCCAGGTTGTTTTGCGACCGCCGACGTGGCCGGCCGCCCCCGAGCCGCCGCGAGCAGCGCAGCCCAGGCGGGGCCCTACGCCAGCGCACACCGGCCGGGCGCCTACCCCCTTACCGGTCTGGGGGCAGAGGTAGATCGCCGGGATCGCGGAGGCGATGATGGAGGCGGTGGAGAACGGGGGGGTGACGGAGGCGGGCGGGCCGGCACACGACGGGGGCGGGGTGGCCTCCGGCGAGCTGGCCGGCGCCGACGGCCAGGCCACCGTGGAGCAGTGGCAGGCCGCGCTGCAGGAGCTGTGCAAGAGCGCACAGGCGTCTGGCCAGCCGCAGGCTTACTTCGCCGGCGCAGCTGCCGGCGCGCAGGGCTACGGGCTGTGGGGTGCGCAGGTGGGTGGCGGTTGGCGTCCAGCTGGTTCTGCCCTGCACTCGCGACACTCCCCCCGCTGGACGTGGGTGTTCATTCGCTTGCCTGGGTCTGACGGAGCTGATCTGATATGCGCAGCCGCTGCTGGCCGCCTACGGCGCGATCCCCTTCTTCAGCGGCGTCTTCCCGGGGTCCTACTCGCTGCCGCAGGCTTCCGTGCCGCCGTCGCCGCCCGAGCCCGCCGACGAAGCGGGCGAGGAGTCGGGCGGCGCGACATCGGAGACGCGGCCGCCGGCACGGCCGGCCAAGCGGGTGAGGGCGCCCGGAATCCCGCGGATGCGGTCCACACCGGCGGGGCCGATGTCGCAGATCGACCCGCAACCCGGCGCGCGCCGCGCTCGCCGAATCTCCCCCCGTGGAGCGACGGCCACGGATTGGCGCGGCGAAGTCGCGCGCAGATTGTCCAGCTGTGCTCGGGGATGGGGAGTTGGGCGGGGGTAAGTCGGCCGGACGTATCTGTCTTTTGCCCTGACCCTTTGGTTTGCGTTGCGCCCGACGCAGGCCAGGACGAGGGGCGGGGCCCGCCATCAGGAGGACGGCACGGGCGGCGGCGGCGCCGAGGGCCCGAGGGCGTCATCGCCCAGGGGCGGTGCCGGGCCGGGCAGGCCCGGCGGCAGGGGCTCGCAGGTCGTCCCCGGCAAGGGGGGGCTGTCGATAGACGCCTTGGCGGCCGCCGCCCGCGCCGCCGCGCGCTCCTCCGCCACGTCCTCCTCCGACTTCTGGCGCAACGCCGACGGCAGCGTGGAGCTGCAGAAGGTGGGAGGCGCGCAGGGCCTGCCCGACCCACCCGCCCGTTCAGCTGCCGCAATGCGGTGCAGCTGCGCAGGTCGTTCGCCCCATTCGCCTGTTTTCCGCGCGCGGGAAGGCGACCGGGCGCTCAGCAAGGGCATCGGCCCGCCTCTGGGGCCCCCGTCCCCCCCCCTTCTTCTCGCCTCCCCCGCTGCCGCCTACCGAGATCCTAAGCGCTGGAGTTGTGTTGCCACGTGTCGTTTCTGTACCTCCCCCCGCCCCGGTCGTCCGCCACCGCCGCGGAGCGCGGCTCCTATCTGGCGCAAGCCTCGCCCGCGGTGCTGGATCCGCCGGCTCCACGCACGCCCGGCTGTCTGTTTGCTGTTTCCCTATTCGATGTGACGCCAAGTGCGCGGCTACATGGTACGGCTAATCAGCGGTTGGTGGTAGCTGTTTGTGGCGTGTACCGTTGCTCAGTGCTCCTGGAGTCTATCGAGCCCCCGGGTTCGAGTACCTGATCTAGACCGTGAGGGTGTGGGGGCTTTGCAGGATGACAAGGAGCTGAAGAGGCAGCGTCGCAAGCAGTCCAATCGCGAGTCTGCGCGCCGCTCCCGGCTGCGCAAGCAGCAGGAGTGCGAGAACCTGCACGGCCAGGTCAGGGAGCTCAGCGACGAGAACGTGGCGCTGAGAAGGGAGGTGCGCGAGCTGCAGGAGCTGCTGGAACAAATGAGGAAACAGGGCAGGAAGGTGAGGTGGGCCAAGGGAAGGGTGCTGTTTTGTTCTGGCCCTTGTGCTGGGGTGCATTTGGTCCGTTGGACAGGCGGGGCTCTGCTCGCCATGTCTGGCCAGCCCACGTTGTGGGACTCTGGATAGAGCCTGTTGGAAGGCCGTTAAACCCGTATTTCGCAGCCCTGTTCCAAAGCGATGCAGGGGTGCAAAGGATGTGCAGTTCTGGAGTTGCAGTGGTGCCCTTGGCCATCGATGATTTCTGTGTCTTTTGCGTGGCTTAGCCCCTCAAACTGCGTGTCCTGATCGCAGGAGAAGATGGATGAGGAATCCATGGCACAGGATGTGGAGTGAAGTCCGTGATACATGTCTTGTGGGATCAACCAAGGGAAATACATTGTCCAAGTCATGCAATGGTTACGAGTTTCGAGATGATTCATGTTCAAATATCACAGTCGTTGAGGATGGACAGCAGGGAAGTTGGTGTGCTACACTTTTTGGGAAGCAGATTGTACTGAACAGCCAATGTTGATGAACGTCAGGAGATGAATACAGGATGCACAACAGTGATGAAGAGACTGCTGAGTTTGAAGACATAGGTACACGAAGATGGCATGGGTTAATTGTTTTGATTGGTCAAGGTTTGGCTCATCTTCAATAATCGGTCGCAAAGTCGCAGAGCATGTCTTTGCGTATTGTGTTTCGAGGCATCGAAAAATGTGTCATCGAGTGGCGTGTTTCGTGACAAAGAGAAACACATGTTTGGACACTGACGAAGTCATCCATGCCAATTTCGGTGCAAGCCAATGTCTGGCTGGTGTTGAAACATTTGTTCTTTGTTGAGAGACCTTGAAGGGATTCTGATGGGATGCCTGTCTAATGGCATATGTTTTCAGAAGGGGATGCACTTAGGCTGTCAAGGGGTTAGGTTGGTGAATTTGTTTGGTCCATTTGTTTGTAGTTCAGACAGGTGAGACCAGATACTGCTTTTTGAGACAGGAAGAGAGTTCGCCCGGTCAAGGTATAAAAATAAACAAGGATAATACAATATTAGTCAGATCATCAGTGGGTGCCTCTGGGCTGGGTGTTTTTCTCAATGCATGTGCTCGTTTGTGCCATGGCAAGGCATGGCCTCTGGTCAGCGCCTCCAGAATTGTGTGTGGAGCAATTGGTTTTGCTAATAGGTTGCATGGTACCCAGTGGTATGGAAGTGGTTAAGAAGCAGTTTTGAATTGTTGTTGGGGACTCAGTGGTTTGATTGTTTCTTTCTTTGGAGCGTCAGGCATTGAGTTGGTTGTTGTAACATAAGGATGGTCTGCAGCATCGCGGCGTTGGTGGATAGACCAGGCAGTTAGGTGCAGCCTTGACGAGGGGCGACTGAATGACTCGAGATAAGCAGTCTCCCATGGTTCCGTTGGGCCCCAATGGTGTTCATCTCAGCAGCTTGGTGCCATGGGTCTTCTGCATGGCCTGCCTGGATTCATGCAAGCGTCATTGGCCATATGGTTTTGCAGCTTGGTGCATTGCATGTGGGTACACTGTACTGGGAATCGCGCCACTGTCTGCCGAGGATTGCTGAACCCTTTGGGCGCTCTCGTGAGGTGTGGCCTTAATTGCGCTTCGCAGCCAGCTCAATCTGAAGTCGCATTTAATCGTGAGCGAGTGTTGGTATGGAACGTGGAGGTGTTTTCTCTCTTTAGGGGGTACAGGGGGGGTGGTCTTGCACATGGAATGCATCATGTGCCCAACAACCGAATTGCCTCTTATGCTGTTGCAAGTTGGGACCCTCTGTTCGCCGATGCGCTCTGCTGAGATCCCAGCCTTATGGCTGAAGGCCTTCCACAGAGCATCGTCATGCAACGTGGCGTTGCCATATCGCTGAGAGCGGGTTTAGGCCAAGGCGAAATTACGTGCGTCTGGAAGCTGCTGCATGATTGCCAATGGCTGCAGGCAACTAGGCAAAGCATGGATGCAAGGTAGCCAAAGGGACGGCTGATAATTGGGCATAACTGACTGTGCCTCTTCACATGACAGTGAACCTGAGGGCTTGGTACCACGGGTTCGGAGTGGCTCTATCACAACAGAGCTGGACGCTGGGTTCCGTCGTATGTGCAGCTGTTATCTGAAGAGGCTCGATGAGCAGGACTACCGAAAGTTGTGCAAATCGTGCCCTTGATGTTCATTCAATCCGGGGCAGGTGGTTCCAACGAGGTGTGCCGAGTATCAGAGCAAATGGCCTCACAGCAAGTCCTTCCTTATGCCGCTTCTCCGCATTCCATTCGTTCCCTTCGAACCGCCCCCCTGAGGAACTACAAGTTGGATCGGTGTGTTGCTGCGAGGCTGATTCGAGGGGATTGTGTCCCCTACCTGCCTCTCCCACTTTCTCACCTTGCCCACAATGCGCTGGTGTGTTGTCTGGTAATCGAAACAGGGTTTGGCCTGGAGGGATGGGGCGTAGGCTCCGCTCGGAAACAGGTGCAGGCACTCTTCCTGGGCGTTCCCTCATTTTTTCATTGAACGATTGAGAACGCAGCAAATTGAACCTGGCATGAAATCATCCAGGTCAGAAGACAAGGAGCCGTTGGCTCCCACTTTCGCCGGAACAAACAGTGCCTGTCATTGCATATGGCTGAGGTGCCTCATCCATATTGTGTAACTTCGAAGCGCGAGGGATGATGGATGAGCTTCAACGTTACGAAATCTCCCTCGTGGAGATGCGAGGACGTTGGAGTTCTCGAGCCCGACAGTTTGTTCATATGTCCGTTTTCTGGTCGCCACTGGTGCAACCAACCAACTTCGCTTGGCGCCCATTTCGCAGATCCCCGGGCTCGCCCGCCACCAGACCACCAGACCCCTTGGCGTTATGGCCGAGGGCAGCGCGAGGCGGTCGTCGCTGTTTTCTTGGGCGACCTTGGCACGCCTCCCCCATGCCGCCGCGGCAGCACCGACGGCGTCGCGGCAGTCTCGCCCGAGGAGGGCTGGCCGGAGCCAGGACTTGACGGCTACCGGGCGGGGGGACGGGGCACTCCGGGGATCGACCCAAGGGCCGATTGACAGAAGGGCGGCTCCGGTTCGCGCAGCCTTGATGGTGAGCTGCGCCCTTAGTGTGATTATGAATCCTGGCCATCGTGCCCATCTGCTGTTGGATGGAGCGCTGATTCAATCCCTCTGGCTGGCGCGCCGCCCCCGATGCCTTTCGGCCAGTGGCTTGAACATCGCTGCCTTGGAAAATGCCAAGTCTGACGGATGGGCTGCGCCAGCGGCCGACTTGAACGCTCTGTGTTCCGGCTCCCCGCAGCACATGTTGACGCCGCCGCATGCGCTCCTGGGGCGGTCGCAAGCGTCTGCGAACTGGAGGCAACACCCACCGGGCAACGCGGTGGTGGACGTCCAGCAGTGTCGACCTTGTGTTGGGGGGCCAGTCACTGGTGGGTGCAAAGTACTGCTGTCAACTTGGCCAGCGAGTGGTGCGCGTCGTGAAGACTGTGTACTGCAGTCGATCTCCCGCCTGGAAGTGCAGGCTCTCTCCACGGCATTGCCACGTGTCAACATCGATGGAATGACTGACGAGGAAAGTGGACAACCGACGTCTGGAACGACGTCCCTTCGGATGCGTGTCTGAAGCTGGGCTAAGCTGTTTGATGGTACCGAATTTGTGATTTTGCACACTCTGATGCACAGCGACTGGCATGTATGGATTGTGGCAGTATCTTGCTTCTCATGGAACAAGTCATGGACACCGCTGTGCTCGGGCGACATGGCGAGCTGATGGCATGTCCTGCTGAGGAAAAGCTGAGCACTTCAGAGCCAAGGCCAGGATTCATCAGCCCTCAATGTGGCCAGAGACGGTGAATTGGCATCCGCATTGTGCAGCCAGACGGAAAGAAAACGTTATGGGAAATCAGGGCAATAACTGCCATGATTTGCTTCGTGTTGCAGATTTACGAATGGTGTGAAGGGGATTCAACTATGGAAACTGGGGAGACGGCCACGCATCCTGCCGCATCCGCTCCTGGTGTCAGGTCCCAAAAAGATGCGTCGAAATCGAAGCCAGCGGGCCAGGCGCGGGGGACAGGCAGCGGGGCGTGTGGAGCAATGAAGAGCGTGGAGATGGCCTACAGGACTTACAACATCGCGCTTCCAAAGAACAGCCAATGGAACAAACACAACCGACATCTTCCCCGACCCAGCGCTCCGACACGAATTTCCAAGCCCTCCAGGGAGGAGAGCGAGAAGCGCAAACTCTGGCTGGCAGAAAAGGTGAAATTCCAGGAGAGGCAGCAGCGTGTCAGCGAGCAAAGGTAATAAACACTCCTTGGCTGCATTGTCAGAGAGTTACTTCTTCTTTGCACGGGAGACTCCACATTTGTGCGCAGGCTAAAAGAAAGTGCAACAATGCGATGCCCTGATTGTTAGGAGGATTACATATGATATATGGCGGCCAATCCAATTGTGGCGGCCTGCCAAGCGCACTGGTGGCTGTGAAATCTTGCCACTGCGATGGAAAGAGATTTTCCCACCCAGCTAATGGCCTGAGCGCCCCTTCTGAGCCGCTCGCAGAAAAGAAGCGGAGAGACGGAGAAAGGAGGCGGCAGAGAAGCAGAAAGCAGAATCCAGGAAGGAGGAACTCTTGCGACGCTCCAAGAGAAGAATGGAACTGCAGCAACAATTGACACGGGAGCGGGAGGCGGCAGATGAGCGTTTCTGCACCATGCTATCACAGAAGGTGTCCCAGGGCAGGCCACTTCACGAACGACTGCACCAAAAGTTTGAGAACAGGGCTGCGACTTTGGACATTCAGAAGCGCAACGCTTACGAACACCAAGTGGGCTGGCTCAAATCTCTGCGGGTGCGTCAAATCTATGACGAAAACGCACTCACTATGCTGAGAAGCCAGATGTCGGAGGGCAAGCAAGCGCAGAGGACCAAAGGGAGGGCAAGCAAGGGGGGTAATGCCGGAGCAGCATGTGGTTTGCGGTCAGGCTTTCCGTCCAAGAAGCCGAGGTTGAAGCCAGTGGACAGGGGTACATCACCAACGGGAGCGAAGGTGATTGAGGCCTCTGTTCTCAAGCCGGTCCAGGAAGGACCACAGCCCCAGAAAAGAATGGAACAGGAAAAAGAGGCAAAAGCAGCACTGGAGCGGGAGCCTCAAGTTGTAAATGAAGAAGTTTTCATAGCGGACCTCGGAACTGCAGGCGCAATGAGCGACGATGGGGAAGTGGTTGATGAAGAATCGGCAAGTGCCTTGGGGTGAAAGGGTGGCGCAGGGCGAACGCGGGAAATCGGCCGCAGCGAAGGGAATGGGTTGCAGGAATGGGATCTGCAGAGAGTTTACTTGTTGATTGCAGTTTGGG